CCAAATGATATTCACCAATTATTCACCAATTATCTGGTTAGTCAGGTGCTGAAAATTTTTCATTGATTAATTAATTGGGTGTTGAAAATTTTCACTGAATAATTGGTGGTACAGAAATATAAAGAATAAAAATTTTTATCCACGTAATTGAAAGAATTACTATTTTATGCACTATTACACTATCACCAACATTCTTTCTATTATAATAACATATCAAGTAATATGAATACCAACTGTCTCATTATTATTTAAAGAATATTTATGCATTGCAGTAACTTCTACTCCAAATGAGCATCTACAGCCAAACCTTGTCACAGTGGACTATAATTATAATGGATTTTTAAAATTTTTGCTTCACATTCACATTAAAATATAAAAACATAAAAGTCCATTGAGGCAAGATCAGTAAATCTTGCCACAATGGGTTTTAAATAAATCTTCACTCATCTGCTGTGACAAGGTTTGACTATATTTAGTGAAGCTAGAAACATAATGACAGCCAAATGAATAAAATTGAATCCTGAGGAATAAACAATTATTTAAATCAATGAATATTCAATGGACATTCAGCGGATATTTGGTGAATGACCAATTATCCAGGTGTTGGGTTTTATTGACTGACCAATTATCTGGATGTTGAGCTTTATTGATTGACCAAATACTCAAACACCTGAATAATCAACAGATATAACTACTATGTAGTACAGCAGACCCTTTCTTTTTGCAGATTTCAGTTTTCATAGGACCATTCCTAAAATTAACTGATTAATATTAATATTAATTTTCATGGGTTAATATTAAAGAATTTTTGCGCAGTATCAATCTCTGCTTTTAAGGTAGTTAAATGTTTGCATTCCTTCTTCCTGAATATTAATTTATCTATGGTGTTGGTGTTTAGAATTCCATAATTGAAGAATTGGCAATGTGCAGTGCTAACCAAATTTGATAATTATTTGTTAAAATTTCACCATGTGTATGATTTCCAAAATTGGTTAGCACAACGCAATCCACACACTGAATTTTATACTATATATATAATACCAATACTAAATACTAATACCGAAAATGACTAATCAAGACATTTGCACAAAAAAAAAATTCTAATAACAATACAAAAAGAACAGTATACTTTAACAACAGCACTAAAAAAATCTTTATCGGTCCTGGTCTATCTATGTATAGGTGCGAAATTCCTTTTGATTGGCAAATTCACATAGATGCACAACAAACTTTTGTAGTTGAGAGATAAATTTAAATTCAGGTTTTTCTCTATTATCTATGTGATCTTTTTATTTTGTCACATTGTAGATATCATTAATTGGCAAGCCACAAATTAATCTTAAATTACACAAATTACTATTGAGATTCCAAAAAAACAATTTTTTAATCTAATTTTTAACCTAATAATATTATTATTTATAAAATAAAATAATTTCTTTCTAATTCCATCTCTCATAGGTTCAATTCTCCTGTGAATATATATGCACTATCACCTCCACCAACCAAAATTCTAGCATACTGATGACAATCAATTGAATTTATTGAAAAATTTTGAGTTGTTAGTTTCTCAGTCAATGATGTGTCTTTTAAATCTGTTGTGGCAATGAATCCATCTAATTCAAAAACCAAGAAGATATACATATTTACAATTATCATAATTATCATAATTTTGTATTTTGAATTAAATAAGAATAATATTTGTACCTTCAGAACAACTTATGATTTTACCAGAATCATATGGATCAAAAATTAATTCCCATACTATTGGAAAAAATAAAGACATGTGTGTATGCATGTTATTATTATAAATGAATTATAATCTTTATCATGTTAATATGAAGCCATACCATTCTTTGTTTTCCTATCTGGTTTGAATTGTTTCCATGGCACTGTCAAATTCCTTGTATCCCATATTGTGACAAATCCATCAGAACTTCCTGAAGCCACTTGATAAATCTTTTCAGAAAATTATTGTTATTATTATTATTAGCCTTCATGAAAAGATTTTTTAAAATATAAATAATTACATGAGAGGAAGTAGCAGCTAAACAATTAACTGGATCTCTTGGATGAGCTGAACTAGGTTATAGTTGAAAAGAATATTTTTTTTTTGATAATCTGATTATGATTTGAATGTAAAGATATTTATTTAAGGAAAATATCCCTTTAATCCTTACTCATAAAATTTAAATGTTGGTTTTCGTATGTTTCTTTTGTCAAAAATTTTTAATATACCAGAACTAGATGCAGTAATCTATATAGTAAAAACAATAGTAGATTAAATTTTAGTAATTTATTTCTTAACAAATATCAAAAAATCCAATTATTTACAATTTGATCTGAACTTGGCCATATTGCTGCCTTGATTGTAAAAGAGCCAACCTCTACATAAATCAATTGTGAGAAAGGGTTTGATTTTGTTATGAAAAAATAAATGAATTCACAATTTTTATTGTAAACAAACAAATCTATTTACCTATGATCTGAGAATCATTTGGGTTTCCAAGTCTAAGAAACACAAGTTTACCATCCTCGCCTGCAGTTAAAATTTCTGGGTCATATAGCTCATTAGGTTGAACTGCAATTGCTGTTGCTTCTGCATTGATATTATTTGGAAAACTATGTAATTGTTTATTCATTAATTCTCCCAATTCATATTCAATATAAACATCTGAAGTTACACCAGGTTCTGACTCGTTTGATTTCTGTCAAAATAAAATACACATTTATATCAATTTTCTTGTGAAAAGGAAAAAAAATTTTTTAAACATTTTTATTGATACTTTACCATTGTATATTTATAAACATTTAAATGTCCATGTGAGGAAGTTGACAAAAGAATATTTTCATTCAAGAACTTTATGTCTGTCACCTCCCCTTTATGTACAATTTTTCCAACCATCCTACTTGCATAGTGACTAGTCATATCAGGCAATCCAATATGATATTTTTCTGTACTCCAAAATGTTAAGAAATTTTTCTATAATATGTGAATTAGAGAATAAGTTACATATTAAAAAAACTACAAAATATGAAATAATAATATTACTACTCACTTCTAATTGATCCCAAGAACCTGCGGCAAACAATATATGACTAGCATCATGTGTAAGCGCAAAGCGAACTTTAGCAATCTTCATATTTACACGATGAACATTTAGTTCCGTAGTTCCTTGCATATTTTTAATAAAATAATAAAAAATACACGATTTTAAAAAATTTAGAGATTATTATTATTGTGATCAGTCACTGGGTCGATCAATTTTGTTACACAATTCCTATCATAAAAAAAAAACAAAAGTATCAATACCTACAATACTTTTAACAAAAGGAGATTTCGGGTTCTAGTTAGCCAATTGATTTGAAAATAGATTTAAGTTTGCATCCAAGTATTATTTCTACTACCCTTAATTGCGTCATTTAATCAATATTGTGATGAGTTCATTTGATTTCTTGACCCGTGTATGTAACCAACACTTGAGCCTATAAGTTGATAGACTAGCTTCCAAATAATACAATTTATCATGCTGTTTGTTGCAATTGGTTGATAATCCACACCTTTAGTAAGAAGCTAAATGATAAAGCTGTTATGCTGTACTTTAACATATCAGTTGCAATTGAGAGAATCAACACATTTTTCTAGCATTCACTGAACAAACCTTATTATGGTAATGATTAATTTTTGATTGCTAACTTCCATGTAATAAATAACCTTATTATTATTATTATGAAAATTTAATTTTCGTGAAATTGGATAAATCAACCGAAGATGAATCAAATTTATGTCACAATCACTCCAAGATTTGGAAATGATGCATAGGATGTAGGATTTGATGCTTGGAAAGTGAAAATTTTGAAAGTTGGTGTTTCACATCCTGTAGATAGATTTGATAAGATGTAAAAACAATCAATAGTGGCAAACATAATTTGATTAAAATCGATTATAAAGATATGATGATAATAATAATATCAATGAACATAATATATGATATTGAAGATTTTATAATTTACAATCTGAAGACACTCAAATTATGACTGAAGTAGATATAATATTATAAATAATAATTAATGAGTTTTCAAGAGACTGATCAATTGTCACTAGAATTTGTGAGAGACAATACATATGTTTGATAAAGTTATATTTTAATTAGTCAATAAATAAATAAATAAATTCTTTACAAAAAAATTTGCTGTAAATGGCATGTAAAAGTGCCTAGGTAGTCACATTTTTACGATTCATTAAACCCTTAAAAGGCTTTAATTTTATCCGTTTGTGGTATATTGTGGTATATATAATGGTTTTTTTGCTGGATGAATCCATCCATGTCTAGAAGTTTAGCAATACAATTGACGATTGTATTTCATAATCATGTAAACCGATATTATGAAACAAACTTGTAAATTTCGAATAAAAATGATTAGAAAATAGGTATTAAATCATATGCATGTGTGTGGTGTATACCTTTGTTTCGTGAACGAACAGATTAATTGAATTCTTTATTATTATATATATATGTATGTATGATAGATTTATTTTTTTTATTATTCAATTATGATCTGCGAATTTATTTCTTTTACAGAAAATTTAATTAACGTTTTTTCTAAATTTAATTTATAATAAAAAATTCTTATTCGTTGTTTTTTACCTTCATTATTATAATACTTCTTTTTAATATAATTTTTATGAAATGTTTCAAAAAATCTTTTGCTCAAGTCCTATTCTATTACTGTTACTATTTTTAAATGTTATAATCAATGAAACCTTGGCAGCACGTCAACATCATGTACATGGTAGACCCGCCATAATAAATCTTGACTCGAACACGATACAAAATAGTAAGTCATTTGTGTTTAATGATACATACTCTTAATTAAATATTCAGTTGTATTATGTATTTCTTTATTTAGAATACCTTTGGAGATGTTTGGACACTTCTACGAATCCATTACAAGTAATAGATTGTAATGGTGGCTCAACACAAAATAAGTTTTCCTTTGGAATGCTCCAGCAAAATTACGATGGTTGCAAAAACCCATTTGTGGTTTATGGACCTGAACTTACTATGTATGTAGAATAAATAAATAATAGTAATATGGTATAAATATTAATGAACATTTAATTAATGAAATAGATTATCATGGAACAAAAAAGATAACACATTATCTATGAGTTCTTCGGTTAACGCTACAAATGTAGAATGGTGTTATAGTGATTCAAATTATGAGGTATATTGCTAACAATCGTAATAGTATCTTATCAGTGATAATAATAACAATATTTTTTTTTGCTCTAAATAATTAGGATGCACTTACTATTCATCCATATTCCCAACCGGATCAATGTTTGGCCGCCCCTTTGAAAGAGGGAGATCCCGTATCTGTTATTAATTGTGTAGTCGAAAGTCAGGAGCAATTAATGGGAATATCATGGACATTATATGTCGGAAGTTAACAACATTTATATGTATTGTAATAGAATTTGATATAAGATATTACTAATAATATTTCAAAAAGTAATTTATAAACGTTTAGAATTATAATAATATAGAATAATAAATAAATATTTATTTATGAACTTTTCTTTGGATGGGTTTTTAATTTAATTATAATTTTCACACTAGCACAATTATTCATTATATTACTCTTTTTTTTCGAAGAAAAATAATTCAATCGATTTTGTTTTTAATAAGATTTTTTTAAAAATGTTAGAGTTTTGTAATTTCTTAATTTATATTTACAATTATTTAGAAAATAATAATGATGATGATAATTATTTTAATTTATAAATAAAATTAAAAAATTTAATTTTTCTAACATTTACTATTATTAACTTATTACAATAGTGTCCAAGTTATTGAGCGATAATTTGATCAAGATGTTTGACAAGGGGTCCATGATGAGATAAATATTTAACATAGGCACCATCTGGTTGTAAAAGCCCAGCTTGCCTTTTTTCTGCATATTCTTCTCTTGATAATTTAGTAAATCCCCATTTTTTGGATAAAATAATCTTTTGGCGACCAGGGAATTTATACTATCATTATTTAGAATGGAATTATTAAAAAAAAAATTTTTCAAATTAAACAAATGTACGAATATAATAAATATTTCAAGATAGATGCCTATATTATGATCTTGATTACCTTGGCACGTCGAAGAGCTTCAGTTACAACAGCTCTGTTATTATCTTTGGTACGAACAGAAAAAACAATTTGTCCAATATCAATACGAGCAACTGTACCAATTGGTTTACCGAAAGCTCCTCTCATACCAGTTTGCAATCTTTTTAACAAAAAAAAATAATGATTGATCAATTTATTGTTATTGTTACTTTGATGAATATTCACGTAATGTTTAATCAATTACCTATCAGCACCAGCACATGACAACATTTTATTGATACGAATAACGTGGAATGGATGAACACGAACCCTTAAGTGGAAGGAATCTTTTCCTGCCATCTTGGTAATATATTTATTGGCACAGATACGTCCTGCTTCTAAAGCTTCACTTGAAAGTTGTTGATATTCATCAGATACCAAATGAATGCAAAGTGGAAAATCATCAACATTGGCTTTTTTCCTTCCTAAATCAAAAATCCTAATTTTGGGATCTTTGTTTAAAATCAATCAATTAATTATAAATTAATTTTAAATCAAAAAAAAAACTATATTGACAATTATACAATTATTATCATTTACCAGGAACACCACGACAAAATCTGCTTTTTGGATAAGGTTTATTCTTACAATATCTATAACAACGTGCTGGGCGACGACCCATTTTATTCTATTCTAAGTTCTAGGTTTAGATAATAATATTCTCTCTCAAATAATAAAGGAAGAAAATGATCGGCGTTGATGTAAATTTCTAACCAACCCGATTGTATTTAATAATAATAAAAAAAATTTATTTTTCTGATCAATATTTATAAAGAATTCTATAGAAAAAAAAATTTTTCTTTATTATTACAAATCATTTTAATTAGTAATCAAAATTTTAAATATTGTATTTATTTTTTCTTGTAAAATTTGTATTAATACTGCGTATACTACGTAATACATCAACAATTGTTATGCGACACATTTGTATTTGATTGTCACATAACAACAAGGAATTAAAGTTTACGTATGACATTATATAATTACCTTTTTTCTTAATTCGACTTGATTAACTACAATGTCTTTAACAGATCATCAAACTGCCATTGAATTACACAAGTAATTTTCATTTATTTCGAGATTTCTTAAACATCGCAATTATTTTTATTGAATTGATTCGTATAATTTATTCTTGATTAGATCTTCCGTGGAATTAGAAACTCAACTTCGTTCTCTTTCAAAACACAAATCTCCTTTTGACAAACAGATTGCAACCTTACGTTCAAAGTAAACAAAATATTTATATATAGACACTTTTAAATTTCGTTTAATAATTATTCGTAGTAATAATAATAATAATAATAATAATAATAATAATAATAATAATAATAATATAGGTTAAGAGACACATTTGTGAATATAATCTTCCTTGATTATGAATTTGCTCAATCTAGAGAAGTCGAGGCAAACTTGTGGAAATATGTTTATTACAAGGCTATTGAGGATTTCAGAAAGAAACTTCGTGCAGTTAGTATCAGGAAATCAAAAATTCTTATAATAACCAAATCTTTTTTTTATATTAATGAATTATTTTTATTTTTATTTTTTTAGGAAACCACATCTGGTGGAAAAAATAAACTACCTCCTCGAAGGCTTACTACTGCATTCCGGTCCTTTTTATATGAAGCAACAGGATTTTATTATTTTTTTATACAAAGACTTGCAATTCATTTTGAATTAAGGCAATTGTATCCACTTATCAAAAAATACGGATTGACCATAGGTAATTCTCGGAATTAATTATTTGTTTTTCAAGAAAACTCACATATATAATATATATGGAACTTAATTATTTTATTTATGCTTTAGATTATAGTGAAGTATCACCACAATTATACTCTGATGATATTAAAAAACGAGCTATAATTAGCTGCCATAAAAGTTTGATTTTTCTTGGTGATTTGGGTAAGCAATTTTTGTATGTCGTTGATTTTTGAAAAACAATAGGTTCTTCAAAAAACAAGTATTGATTATTATTATTATTATTATTATTATTATTATTATTATTAGCACGTTATCGGGAATTACAAAATGATAGAACTCGTAAAAATTGGTCGACTGCTTGCGATTATTATACTCATGCAAGATATTTGATTCCTGAAAGTGGTATGGTTGATATAATTAATTATATTTAATGTTTTCTTTTTGAATCTTATTAATTATTTATCTATTTTCAAACAATAGGTAATCCTCATAATCAATTAGCAGTTATTGCTAATTATGAATCTGATAATTTTTCAGCAGTTTATCATTATTATCGAAGTCTCGCTGTTAAGCACCCATTTATGACCGCTAAAGATAATATTAGTTTATTATTCAACAAAGCAATGAAATCTACCAATGACCAATCTGACATTTCAACGAATGAAAGTAATCATCATCAAGAGTACAACGGTTATGATAATGGAAGGGGTGGAATTGGTGGTGGCAGACGACGTTTCTCTAATCAACGTCAATCAGCCTCTTCATTCACTTACTTGAACAAACCAAAAATTAGCGAAATTCTTAATCCGTTCTTTAATGATTTTATTAAGTTGCATAGTGTTTTATACTTGAGAGATCAGTAAGTATGATAATAATATATGTTGTGTAAAAAATGATTACTAAAAACTATTTATATACGCATATACTAGATTGGAATTATATCCCGATTTGAAGATGAATATTTTGAATCAATTAAAAGAGTATATACTTACACGTATTTTGGATTCTGATCAAATCCTTAAAATTACAGCAATAAACATGTCAGCACTATTTGTGATTCGTTATATTATAAATGGTTTGTGTTTATTCAATAGATAAATTCCTATTTCTATTTCTATTGCATATTAAAATTAAAATTAAAATTTTAAAATAGGAGAGAATGGACATAATAATGGCCCAATAATTACAACGGCATACTCTCGAGTATCTAAAAAGATGCTTATTGAGAAATACGCAGTTTTATTGGTTCTGGATACGCTTACAACTTTATTGGACTTGTGCGTTTCTGAACTCGAGGAAGTTTCTAATGAAAAATCAAATGAAAATTATGATCATGATCATATGGGCGAGAATATTGCGGTTCAAATCTTACCAGCACCTGTTAAAAGAAGTTTGCCATCTTTACGTATTGGTACCAAATGGATTCTTGCCAATCTCCAATATTTATCATCGATGACCAATGATATTTCCAAAGATTCCGATGTGAAAGGAGATTTAACAAAGATAACTATTTTTTGGGAAAAATATGCTAAATTCATGAATTTGCTCGAGAAATTGTTTCCTCATGAAAAAGGAATTCCACTTAGTGTACCATTGAAAGAAGATTTTGAAATGAATGGATTTTATATATTGAAAAATTATGTTTTTATTAATAACGATCAAGTGATGACACCGAGTCAAGATGAACCTTTTGAAGAGTTTGATATGCGTATATATGATATTTTTGTGGACGCATGCAAAATTACCGAATCTGAGGTTAACTATATGATAATTATATAGTTATAATTATTAAGTTTATATTAATGATTTTTTTTTATTCAAAAATTAACAGGTTTCCCAATTATTTCATCTTAATGGAGTTTTTAGTACTAAAGTATCACCGCCATCATCACCACTATCACCACTATCACCATCATCACCAGCTAGTGTTGAGATAAGTAAAAAAGATCAAGTAATGACTTCAATTGATCATCAAAATGAATTTTTTGAAAAATATGATGCACGTATTTATGATGTTTTTGATAATTCATGTGAACTTGCGGAATCTGAGGTTAGTGAAAATATATATTATAATGTTTTAATAAGAAATGATCATCTCAATCCATTAATATGAATTGAAATTAATTTTTATATATATGATGATTGTATGGTTTCCCAGCCATGTTATTTTAATGATGTTTTTAATACCAAAATACCATCAGCTGAACTTGGGTCAGACATCAACGTTGTTGATAACAATCATGTCCCTAATATTTCTACCACTACTAATAATAATATGGTACATGATATTGAATATAATAAAATTAATATGGATATTAAAAATCATTTAGCTTTCAAACAACAACAAGAAGTGGAGGATGAGGATGGGGACGAGGATAAGGATGAAGATGATGTTGATGCTAATTTAGCTGTCGTAGAATCTCAGTTATTATCATCTAATATTCCTAATGGATTGAATCGAGATACAGTCAACAATAATGATGGGGGCAACAATAATACCAAGATCAACAATCGTAATAATGTGGATAGTAGTAGCAATGATGATGACGACGACGATGACGACGATGATGAAGTTATATTGTTTATGGGAAGACATAATTCTATCTGTGTGTGAATTTATTATATGTGCAGTATGGGCACACAGGCTTTCAAAAAAAAGATTTTTTTTTGATTTGCACATTCTTTGCAGTTAAAAAGAACGAAACAATATATAATATTATACACACACTATCCATCCTCACGTGAATTCTTTCCTAAATTACAAAATTAAAAATATGGAGGCTATATTTTTTTTTTTAATGAAAAAAAAATACATATATATTGGTTAGGAAGGAAATGATTCATTTTTTTTTACATAACCAAAACAATGAAAAATGAAGCTGGAAAATTACAAAAATCAGTAATAGATCATTTCTAAATATTTATGGGAAAGTAGTAATAATATTAGTCATGTGTATGTATTTATATAGATAGGATCTATGCCAAAATTCGGAATTATTTATTATATATATCCTCTTTCAATCAATCAGTTTTCTCTCAATCTTCTCTTTTTTCTTTTATTTATTTGATTTTTTTATAATTATAATAAGAATATATTATAAATTAATTATTTTTTTTGTATTGTACTATTATTATAATTAGTATTCGTTATAATAATGATTCATTTATATTTATGTTTGTATAAATAAATAATAAATAAATGTATTTCTTTTTATTTTAAAGCATTATCACTGTGGTGTGATAATTCTTTTATTTATGACATAAGAGGGGATAAAATTGAAATTAAATAAGGCCATTTTAATTTCTCAAATGTCACACCAAAAAAAAACAATAAGGTTGATGAATTCTTTGTTTTAAGATATGATTGATATCTTTTTTTTTTCTTTGTAATCATTGTCTGTCTATTTTTTCAACTTCTCTTTATATTAATTTCAAATTATCACGATTATCACTTTTTTAAATAATGATGATGATCTATTAATTTTGTGGGAGTCTCGTTTGTTTTCTTGTTTTAGGAAAAGTTTAAAAAAATTTTTGATAAATAACAGGTATTTTAATTGAATTTGATCTACTTGATTTACAGATATAAATTGTGACTTAGGAAACATTGTTTAAAAATTAAGGTGACATTTGCGAAAAAACAAACTTATTTTTAATATTAATAATTCGTTAAAAAAAAAAACATGCCCCAAGAGCCGAAGCAAAAGAAGAAAAGAGTCCCTATAACCGCACTTACCAAACAAGAGATATGCATAAAGAAGCGAGAGAACCTTAAACTTCGAGACGAAGACCTTGCGAAAGAATACGGACTTGATAGAAGTACAATCACAAAAATTTTAAAACAGAGAGAAAAGTGGTTGGCAATCGACCCAAATTCCAACTATGCAAAACAAAAAACGCAAAAATCACCCAAATTCCCACAGATTGAAGATCAACTGGCTCAATGGTTAGCTAGTCTTCCTATGACACATGGACCAGTTAGCGATGCACAACTTCAAGAAAAGGCTTTGGAATTTGCTCAGATGTATGGAATACGTAGTGAGTTTCAAGCTTCAAATGGTTGGATTTCAAAATTTAAAAATCGTCACCCATTCCGTCCTGGAGAGCCAATAGCAACCCCTGAAATATCTTTACAAACCGTCAATCCAACACAATCGATAACTGGTAATCCCGTTTTAACACCATCAGAGCATTCAAATTTCAACAATACCATGAATTTAGTGAGTTTATTTTTATCTGAATCAGAAAAATTTTATATTAAAAAAACTCCTTCAAAAATAAAAGTGATAAAAAAATTTTCTTTTTTAAAAAACCTTTATTTTTTTTAAAAAGGAATTTTATCATTATGTGATTTATGATATTTATCTAATTTTTTTTTAATTTTTTTTTTAAATCATCACATTTCTTGATAAACATATTTTTTCTTGATAATGATGGTGATTATGATTATTAGACTCCCAACTCAAATTATTCCCCATCACCGTTAAATACATCAAGTCGAACAAACGGTGCAACTGGTTTAACATTAAATAATGCTTCTAACTCTTCGTTCATTGCGTTTGGGGCATCGTCTCCTTCTCCTATTGGGCCCTACACTCCTTCTAGGATTTATCCTGTTCCCACCCTAACCTCCACAATCCTTCTTGATAATTCAGCGTACGTAAAAATCATATTCTTGTTGCTATCAATATTATTGATTATTTATGTTTCCTTTAATCAATCAATTAATCCTGACTTACTAATTTTGATTTATTATGATCTAGCTTTATTTTTTGTGATTATCAAAATGATGTTATTGGAATGTAAGAATTATTATTATTATCAAATATATATATACACGTGATTCAATATATTCAATTAATATAATTTTTTTCTTATATGTATTGTACTTAAAGGTTTCATACCACAAATGTTCTCAATCAATTCTTAGCGAGATCTAAGAACCTTTTTAATGCAGTTCACACAGCAAAACAAAAAAAGAAACTACATTGTATATCTATTGGCCTTTCCGTAAGCGCTTTTTTATAACAATAAATAAAACTACATATACGTGCGTGTGTGAGTTTTTCCTTAATACGTCTAAGCTATATTACATTACATTAATGTTTTTTGTATAGTTTCGACCAAATTACCCTGAAGTATCACCCAATAATCGATACTTTGAAAATTATAAAAACTCGGGAAGGCTTGTAGAAGGAACCAAGGGAGCCGAATTTATTGATGGACTACAACCAAGAGAGGTTTAAATTTTTTTATAAACTTGATTTGAATTCATAATGGAACACTGATATTAATATTAACATTATTTTCTCAAATAAATATATTAGCATGATATCGTAATTCAAGTAAGTTTTTCTTTAATGTCTAAAATTTATTTGATGATGATGATGATGATAATAATAATAATACCTATACACTCATTTTTATAATAAAATAATTTAGAGACGTCGTGTAGATGCCTTTTATAACACCGATCTTCAAATGATCCTTGAGTCGCTTAATATTAAACACATCATTTTAGCTGGAATATCTACAGCAGACGTCATACTTTCAACAAGTCTATCAGCTGCTGATAGAGATTTATGTGTGACTGTTGTTAGGGAATGTTGTTTTGAAGGAAATGACTTGGTACAGAATGTTTTAATGGATGAAATATTCCCAAAACAAGGTGTTATTGTAGCTCCATTTCAAGACATCATAGACACCTTAAGATCTGCTTAACTTCAGTTGAGTTTTTTAATTATAAAAAACCCAATAATATTAATAATTATAGCAACATGGAGTCAAATCACATTCGATAAATTTTCTTTCATCGTGTACAGATTTTACTAATTTCGAATTTTTTTTTTTATTATTATTATTTTTCATAATGGTATTGAGTCATGGGGGTTTATGGAATTGAGTCTCATTTATACATTTACATATATACATCATCAAAAAAATTTTTAATCGTAGAAATTAAGAAAATTTATTTTGGGATTTTCGTTAATAAGTTTTCTTTAAAAAAAAAAAACAAACATTAATGATAATGTAATTAATTGGGGACTTTTCCCTCTTTTCCTTAATACATTATGCTTATCTTTTTTTTTCATTATTATTTTTTATTGACCTTTAATTTTTTCGATATTATATTAACATCACAGAATTCGTTTTTCCATTTTTTAGTATAAATTTTTTTCCCCTTTTATCACATTCGTGTATATAACCTTGTTTTTTTATTATGAATTTTCTTTTTTTCTTTATCATTTGATTTTTTTTTTTTATAGAAAATTTTTTATAAGATTAAATTTCATTATATAACTGAATATTAACCCTTAAGCACAAAAAAAATTTAATAAATTCGCAAAAAAAAAAAAAGAGCAAGGATCAAAAAACAAAAAAAACAAGCTGTGTATTTATTATATGTCAAATATTTTTGGTTGTGGTGATGATGGGATGGGTAATAGTGGTGATAGTGATTAGTATCTTTACCTGATGTGAAAAGTGACGATATATAAAAATCACATTTAAAACACTAATATCACGCAAATATATTATTATCCACTTTTTTTAATTGGTTTTTTAAAAATATTGATGTGTGAATCTATCAAAAAATACAAATTTTTGACAAAGTATATTTAGAATATTTCTATAAATTAACTAATAATTCCAATGGTTTAATACATTCTACTGAAAATCCAATTATTTGTTATTTAACCATTTGTATATTGAGCTGAAATCTTTATTCTCAAAATCTTTATTTGCAGAAAGCTGATTATAGATTTGTTGAGCTAAAGCCCCTAGAACAATGGTGGAACGAGTATCATTAGCAGCATTAACAGCAAGTCTCAAATCTTTTGCCACCAATTTATTACTAAAACCACCTTGATAATCTCTGCTTGAAGGAACATTTTCCATAATACCAGGACAAGGATTGTAAGTATCACTGGACCAACATCTACCCGATGATGTATTTATAATACTTGCCAAAAGTTTAGCATCCATTCCAAGTCTTATACCTAAATTCATAGCCTCAGCTGTACCGATCATTGATATTGCCAACAACATATTATTACACATCTTTGCAATTTGACCTGTTCCTATATCACCACAATGAACCACATTTTTACCCATAAAGCTTAGGTACGATTTAGCCTTTTCAAAATCTTTTGATGTAGATGCACCAACCATAAATGTTAATGTGGCAGCCTCTGCTCCAACTGTTCCTATATATTTGAAAAAAACGTATACATATATATAAAACATTTATATGATCTATATACAATTATTTAATTATTACCTCCTGAGACAGGAGCATCAACAGCAGTGGCGCCTTTATTTATGATTTGTTTAGCAACATATTTACTGACACTTTGATCAATAGTACTGGAATCAATCAAAAAACTGTTTTTATCAATTGAATTGACTAAACTTTCATCATCTCCATCATTCAAATAAACCTTTTCGACCTCAACTGAAGAAGGTAACATTGTGATGATTACATTAGATTTCTTGGCAACATCTGAAGGTGATGAAGCTTTCACTATTGATTTGGATGATGATAAAGATGTTTGATTAATTGAAGCAAATTCTTCTATGGATTTATTGTTTACGTCATAGATTACTAAAGAATATTTTGATTTTCTAAATAAATTATTGGCCATTTTAAATCCCTAAAAAAAAAATAATTAATACTGATATTGATATGATTAATTGATTTAGTATTTGTTATTCATCTTACCATTTGACCTAGTCCTATGAAACCAATAGCATCATCCTTAGAAGCCTAACATGTAAATAATTTATATAAATAATTTATTGAAAAATTAAAATGAAAAAAAAAATAATTTACCTTTGCTATCAATTATATTGATAAAAATTTAATATAAAAAAATAAATAATAATTAAATATTATTATTATCGAAAAAAAATAATAATTCAAACCTAATGAAACATAATTTCTTCCACTATGATAATATAATAAATTTCGATGATATAAATTAATTAAAGAAACAAATTTTTTATGAAGCATTCTTTCCCTCTTTTTTTTTTTTTTAAAAGAAAATTGGCTAAAAAAAATTTTTTTTACACGATCATATGATTGTTTGTATACAGACATACTTGCAAAACATCTTTAAATAGAGTACAAATCAATTTCCCAAATTTGTAAATTTAAAAAATACCTTGGCCCGTGCATTTAGATTAAACGAGTTTTTATTTCTATATTGATATCTTTATTTCCCAAGCCATTTTGCTTATTTTATAATTGCACTAACCTTTATTAAACTAAAGAAAAATTTTTATCAAATGCTGCGCAAAATGTTTCAAAATTCACAAATTTGAGGTAACATGGCACGATTAAAGATGTCGATCAAAAATAAAAATATTATTAGTTTAATTCATCTATTTCATCTATTACATTGTCTGGAATCCTTTTATGTGACTTATATTTTTTTACAATATATTCAGCCTGTAGTACTGTTAATCCTTTTCTGTAACAATCCTTAAGTCTTGAGGCTCTCACCACATACTTTCTAATTTTGTTTCAGTGATATAGAATCAAAAGCATTGGGGACATTCTTTTGAGGACTTTTTCCATGTATAATTAAGGCTCCACATGAGCCAGCTTGCAAGCCAGCTTGCGAGGAGCTTTATGTATAATTAAAATGTTGTCTAACATACCATTTAACAGCCCCCAAATACATTTCAATGTAGTTAAGCTCACAGTGAAACTTTGGATAGAAGATGACTTTATGTCTTCTTTCTTCAATTAATTCTTGAAGTAAGGGCTTTTGGTTTTTAAAATCATCTTGGGTTGCTAAGATATGTCTAGCACAACAAGTCAAGAGAAACTTCAAACAAAAAATTTGAATGGGATTATTTTATATTCACAAATTCAATGCAATTATTATTATCAAAAAAAAACGCGTAAAATTTTAAGATTTTTTTTTTTAATGGATGAATTATATCGCGTGATTTACCAGAATTAAAAAATCTATTTTTATGTGTGACTTGAGGTGGGCCAAAATTACGTGTTTCAAATTTGGAAAATTCTATACATAACATATAAAAATTACATGATTTTCAAAAGCTTATTTATAACTCCTGAACCAATAATTATTTTTTAATTGTCTCGACGATATATTGTAGAACTAGTCAAAAGCTATCAAATATCGTCTCAATAATTTTTTGTTAAGCACACAATATTTTCTTTTTAGGTTTTAAAGTTGGTCAATTTTTATTTGATGGGTTATTGTGGAGTGCACTATACAACATCCAAAATCTTGTGTTTCTGCTTCCTTCGCGAGATGAAAACTACCTTTTTGATTATTTCAAAAATTTTGCATAGAAAATGTTTTTTACATCATCGCTGACCAGTCAAAAAATGAAACGAATTGAAATTGTAATAATGATGCAAGAAAAGTATAACAGATTTTGGGCATTAAAATTCGTTATAGCACAGTCTTGGGAATTTTGTCCATAGGGACATATGTCCACAAGGTCCAAATGACTTTAACCAAATGTCCAATAATATATGACTAGCTAATGTTTTACAGCTAAGTAATTTCAATCCTGACAAAATTAAATAATATTTGAACTTGATTTTTTGTCAACCCACTTGAATGACCAACCATCATCATTTATGGTAGAATTCAATATAAGCTTCTTCAGATGCATATGTGCTTTGTCTTGCTTAGACAGAGGAACAGAATGAAAAAGATAATTACATATTTTTGTTTTATTAATAAAGATGACTCTTCAATTAATTACGACTAAATGCGTCATATAAAATTTAATTGCGTCCAATTGCAGTTCCCATCTTTAGTACCGTACAAACAAGAAGTTACCAATTTTTTAGTATTTGTTAATTTAGTTTTACAAAAATGACGAAGTGTATAATGATTAGATTTATTTAAAAAAAATTTTTCGAAACAACTGATGATTAATATCACAGGTGTGTCTAGATTGTCTAAATAATATATATATATATACTGTATATATATATAGCACGTCGAATTTATACAATCTTAATCGTCTAAATTGATTTATATTTAGACGCCCATCTATCCCAACACTGATTACCAGGTCCAGAGATAGATGCAGTTTTTCCGGTTCATTTTTGAAAATCCTATTACTATTCTATTACTATTGAGTTATAGCAACCGGAAAGAAATCATTGAAAAGTCAAGAAAATTCTAATAATTGAAAAAATCAGAAAATCAATTTTAATTGCATTTTTTACATACAGTCAACTCTCTCTAAATGCAGGTTCTTTCACATTCCCGAGTAAGGTTTCTGGTCGAAACTGTTTCTATTAGTAGCCGAAATTGCCCAAATACTTTGGACAAAATTTATTTTTTTATAAGCCCAAACTACTTTTTGTTATTAGCCGAAATTGGGCGGAATTATTTTAAAGTTGTTTAAGTTAAAACAAGTTGATTCATATAGTTTTTTAATGTTCATGCTTATAGAAAATGTTGAGAAGCCCAAATTGCCCAAACTAGTTTGGGCTTTGAGAAAACAATTTGGACCAGAAACCTTATTCCCGAGCTCGGGTCTTAAGATGTAAATGCACACATCTATATTCTGCACGGCACGGCTTTTTTTTTAAATATCTAAATGCAACTGATAGTAATAGATGAATAAAGAACCCTTTGTTTTATTATAGTAGATAATTAGCAATTCTTTCTTAAAAGATGTAAAAAGATTATTAGTATAACAGAATGATGGTAAAGCTTATA